TCGTTGAGGACTATAATGTAGAACTCACATGTGTTCTTTAGTCTCATTATACTCCTCCCAAATACTTGAAGTGAAAAATTTCTACCAGATTATAAATGAATACATGAGAAATCAAATTTTACCCGTTTTTGTTTTTGAAGTTAATATGATTTTCATATTTTTTTCATCTTTGACTTTCTTTACTTTTTTCGGATGAGTTTCCTCCACCATTTCCTGTAAAGGGTGTGAGTATGGGTTTTTGTCTAGAGAAAATTACTCCACTGTTGAATCGTATCACATCTAAAAACTTCTTCAATATTCGTTTTCTTTTTATTTATACACTTAAAGTCATACAATATTTAACTATATAAACTTTAGTGCCAGTTGAGATAACTGCTTTTATCATAGTTCTCGATAGAACTCGTTGAGTATGGGTCTGATCTCTCATAGTTGGTACTCTTAAAGTAAAAGTCTATAATGACCGCATTCATAAATGATCACCATCAGGATGCCATGAGAAATGTGAAATAGATTCTAATGAAAACATGATGAGTAAGAATTCAGCAAACGTCTAAATTTTTGTGTCGCGTGTCTCTAAAACTTACACTTATTCTATTTTTCTTCGAAAAGAAAGACGTAATGTGAGTTCCACAAAAAACAAAAACAGTCAATAATTTTATCATCAATTGCTAATGATGACGGATTAATATCAAATAAACTTTGAATATTCCCCAATTGAATAAGTGGAATATATTTTCATACCGAATGCTTTTCACATATATATTCAAGACAATCGGAGAAAAGAAAACGAATTAAATGTAGTTGTATTGTTGTTAATTCTTGTTGAAGTTCAATAACTTGAAATTTTTCTATATAATCATGATGTGCAGCAAGAAACTCTGACTAAAATTTAACGACAATAAAACGTACTTAATACTGTCGGAATCGTTTTTTTACTCGACAATTATTAATAATATGAACAATATTAAACATTGATAAATGTTTTTCCGTTTTTCTACTTTGTTCATTTAATTTTTTTTTGCTATTTCACGTAATTTACCCAATGAATCAATTAATAATTGATAATCAATATTTTTTATTGATGTATATTTAAGTAAACGTTAAATAAGTCATATCATTAAATACAGCTCAATGTTGTCCACCTAATTCAATGTTATGTTCACGAATCTATTCGAAATAATTTTTATTTTTTACATAATCTATTCAATGAAATAAAATTACCTCAAGATAAGCATAAATACGAGGACTCTTTTTTTTTATCTAGTGTATGAATCGCTTCCATTGTTTTAGCATAAAATTTTCTAAAATCTATTAGAAAAACAAAATAAAAGTTATATGAAAAATAATATTGGAATTGATTACAAAAAAGTAGTTCATTCGAAAATGAAAGTAACGATCTGTATAGATGAGTTAATGTAATACAAGAAAATTAAACTAGTCCATCACTGTTGCAATTAAAATCTAATAAGTGTCCGACTTCGATCGGATCACAAGAATACAATATGAATGATTAGTTCAGTACAGGGCTGCCAGATCTTCCGAATTTTGGTACTTTTTCCAAACTCTTTCGAATTTTGAATATTTTTTCGAGACCTGTTATTTCTCTAGATTCGAGATTTAATGACTTTGGTTATAACTTCTAATTTAACTTTCATTAGCAATTCTTGCGCTGTCGTTGTTCTACTGTAATCATTCCATAATACAATTTTGAGACTATTTATA